TTTAATCAATTTTATAATAATAAATTTATCTTTATATTAAAATTAATTTTAATTTTTTTATTCTTTACAAATGCTTTTGACACCTCATTATTTTCTCATAAACTCTAATTGTTTTTAGCTATTAAAATCATTCTTAGAACAAAAATGATAGTTTAAGGGATAAAGAAGATCTGCAATGAGATTTATCAACTTACAAATAGTATAAAATTACAAGTTTTTAGTTATTTCACATATAAATTTATTTTTATTTTTTCTTCAAAGTCTGTGTGTGTATATATTGTCGTTTAACCATATTATGTTCTTGGGATTATTTGTAAAGACTTCTTTTAATTTTTATTTTTTTCTGAATTTTCAAATTAATTGTCTAAAGTTTTATTTTAAGAATAATGATGGTAGGAGCCAGGAGGTATATAACATAAGTGAAGGGAATGAAATGTTCACTCTTTTAAAATATAACAAAATAGAATAAAGGCATTTATGGAATTTATGGGGTGCCATAACAATATTTTTTTTTTTTTTTTTTTTTTAACTTTGAAATGGGGTGTTTTAAAAAACGGGGCTTCTTTAAATCTATTAGTGAGGAATAGCTCCACTCAAATGAAATAGTATTTATTTTAGAATTACATTATTAATTTCTACAACAAATTAAAAAAAAAAAACGATTTTATTGAAAATGGATGAAATATCAAATTTTAAAATCAAATAATAGGCGACCTTTAAAAAAAAAAAAAAAAAAAAGCCTGTGTAAAGCATTTCTATGAGCATAAATAACTCCACCGTTTATTTTATTGCATAGATGTATATCTATCAAAAACGCCTATATAGATAACTGCCTAAGTATGTGATATAAGAACAGTGCGTACTCATAGACACAGAGGACTTGAAAATTTGGGGGAGGTGGTAGCATTATTCTTTAAATTGAAAAATAATCCTGGGACAAAGTATGTTTGTATATTTATTAACATACGAGTTAATTTATTTCTATCAAAGAAAGGGAAACGATATAAAATTTCATTAGACTTTTGTAACGCCCCACTTGAGGTACATATTCAAGATTCGCTGTATTACTTAAATGTTCATTGATTTTAGCTTTAATTGAGTCGGTTGAGTGTTTGCCTTGAAATTTGGTTGAGTTTTGAGGAATCTTAGAATTTCAGTCTTCGCCACGGTGACGTTGGCTTTGAGTAAGGCGGTGTCGACTCTGTAACTTTTCGCTAGGGCGACGGAAGTTTCTTCGCCGCAACGACGAGCCAGTTGAAAAGTTGAATGAGGTTTCTAGAGAATTCTTTCTTTTGGGGCACAATGACCATTCTACCCCTAATTAGCAGGAAAAGTAGGGAGTAAAATATAAGGAAATTTCATGTATAATAGGTTAGTGTGAAGGTGTGAGTGAAAGGAATCAAAGGATATAGATGGAATTTCCAAGGAGGAGTAAGGGCAAAATGGGAAAGGAAGGTTATAATATAAGCTAAAACAAAGTTTAAGTGAAATAAACCCTTCATTTTCATCCATTTCCACCGCCATTCTCATTCTCTGCTTCCTTTCATTTTTTCCTTTCAATTTTCCCAAGATTTCTAAAGAGTTCAAGAGAGCTTTTGGGTACTTTTAGTAGAAATTTCATCTCAAGTATCCTAAGATAAGGATTCTTGCTTTAGATGTGAGTTTTGCTTATGGTTATATTAAAGTCTTATATTGTTATTATTGTTCTTGTTGTTGTTTTAAGTTGAAGAGAGAAGACAAGACAACAAAGGGAAGGAAAAGTGGTAGAGAAGTCACTTTTTCACAAGGTAAATAAATCCAACCTAAGTTGAGATTTGAGAAATCATTTGAGTAGAGATTGAGTAGAGATTTATGTATGTATAAGTATGTTATGTTATTGAGAATTGAGTTGAGATGAATATTTGCTTTGTGGTTGTTGAATACACTTTAATTATGAGAAGTGTTTGATGTGTGAAGAGAGATTGAAATTGAATTGAAATTGGAGGAGTTTGCATGAATATTTTTAGGAGTGTTTTCCTTGGCAGGAATTATGACTATATGAGGGAGTTTTCCTCCCATTTTGGATGGTTAAGAAGAGAATAAAAGTTATAGTAAAGTAGAGTTCTTATATGCACATTAGTTGCTTGATGAAATGTCTAAGTGAAAACATGTTACCAAACTGCCTTGTCACAGCTGTGACTTTCTAAGTGATTTTTGGGCATCTTACAGATTGAACTAGATTTAGACCAAAACATAAAAGTTATAGCCCTGTCTCTAATCTTTAAAATGAGATAAAAATCGTAGCAATCCGATGTGTATAACTCAAGTTATGCCTTCTTGAGTGTGATCTACACAGAATGACTGTCTTTGATGCAACATTGCATTTGTGTTTTTCATGAGTGCATTAATGAGCATGAGCCATCCATATGCATTGATTATGCATTGAGAAATAGTTTGAGAAAGAGTAGAGAATGTTGAGAATAAGCAACTCTAATAGTAAAGAGAAGAGAGAAAAGAGCATAGAGTAGGTTGTGCGATGGGGAACCCGTGATGTACGCCGCATTGAGAGAACGGCATGAGTATGAGAGAGAGAAGTGGTGAGCCCGTGAGAGTGCATGCGGATGAGGGCTATACCCGAGAGTACCCGAGAGAGAGATTATACACTCACATGGCCAAGGGTTCTAAGTCCATGCATAACTGAGTCCGATCGGCTAGAATGAGTAGAAGTCACATAGAGCGGGAGCGAGTCTCGGCCGTGCCTCCGGTAAGATAAGGCCGTGACTTACTAAAGAGAGTTAGTAGAAAAGAGTTATGAGAAAGAGAAAATAGAGAGAAGTATAAAAGAGAGAGTAAACGAGAATTGTAAGGAAAGAATTAGAGAGAGAGAGAGTTACGGGGATAGATGAGTAGAGGATTTACTTACTAAGCATTAGTTGTGCTCACCCCGTTGTTTTCCATGTTTTTGCAGGATCTAGGTGAGGACATAGTCGTATGGGCATCGGCGAGCGAAGGGAAATGGCTACACTGTCCATCTTGTTTTGATCATTTGTACATGATACAACTTTTTGTATAAAGAATGTATATGTTTAATAAAAGAAAAATTTGGGCCCAACCTTTTTATGCTATTTTATATGTATTTTATTATGTACATGTTTTATGAGTATTTGAGTAGAAAGCGGCTATTACAACTTTTATCATATTTGATGAGTGTAAACAGTAAAATCTACTGGAAAATACTTTGGATTTGATCGTGTGAGGAATGAGTCATTGACAATCTCGTAGACCTTTAGATATAAAGAAGAGTGAACGTGAAGCACTTGGGGACACCGGTGTGATGCGGCCATAGGCACTTCGACACTTAAGTTAGCACAGTTGTGAGATATTTAGAAAGACTGAAAGCGAGAAAGAGTTTATCGGAAGTGTGAAACTAAGACGCAACTTATCAACGTAAAGTGGCCGAAACTTAGATCTACGACAATTACTAGTGTAGAGTGGTCGAAACTCGACTCTACAAGCAGGGAAAGGTAGTGGTTCGTGAGATCAAGAACATAGTAAGCTAGTAAGATGGGTTGTGATTGAATGCATAATGAGAGGTTTGACCTCTACTTATATAATGAGTTGAGGTAGTTTGAGTCCTAGTAAAACTAGATGTTCTCACAGTAGGAGTTTGAATAAACAAAAAACTCGTGGTACTAATTCATGGAGGATTAAGTGTACTAATTCATATAAGACTAGGAGTCTTGGATCGGATGAACTAAGATATGTATGAGACTTAGAGTCCTATTGTGGGATAAACATACATTGTAGACTGATGGATTGGAGCTTAAGATAACTTATAATGTAGAAAAGCCTAACATGTGGAGTGACCCAAAATATAAGTTGACCCAATTCGTAGGGTAGCCCAACTTGTAGAGTAGACTAACTTATGATATGAACTGACTGGTAGAATGGTCCGACCCATAAAGCGGTTCTTCTTACAAAATGGGCTATCTTGCTAGATGTTTCTCTCATAGGATGAGTTTTTTATGTAGGCCCAACTGAAGTTGGACTGTGGCACTAAACCTTAAGCCTTCAGGCCAACCACAGTGGGCTTTTGGCATAAGCCCAACCAAAGTTGGGTTGCGGCACGGGACCGTCTATTGATAGTCTTCGAGGAGGAGTCAAGTACTACTGGGTCCAATACCATTTTTTGTCCAAACAATGAGTTGATTGACTTTCGTCCAGTACCACTGAACACGGAAACTAAATTTTGAAATAGTGTATGTTTGAGTGGCTTGTGACAGAAATTAAAGAAAAACCTTGACGAGGGTGGGTCTTCGAAATATGACAAATTAAGTTCATAGGCATGCATGTTTTATATGGTCATTTTTTCTATCAAGGGAAAGCTACGAATACAATTTTATCAAATCCATCTGTTAATATTATCGTGCATAAGTCATTTGATAAATTGGGAATTAGATTTAATTGATACGAATGCAACCGCAATTTATTTGTATTCTCATACAATCATTTGCATCATTTGAAGTATTGAGTTTGGATATACAACAGATGAAATATTATAACCGCGTGTTCGAAGGAGTGGTTTCATGGACAAAAGCAAAGTAAAACTTTGCACTGATTTCTTAAAAATGATCTATTGCTATCAATTTAATTCACTTAATTAGATCTATTATCATTATCAGTAGTAATCATTTAACTAGTCTCATTATTATTTAGAGAATTATTACGTTTTTTTTAGCTGTAGTGTTATTTGAAAATTTTAATTCTTATAAATCATTTTGTTGTTGTTGCAAATACATGTAATTTTATTAATTTGGGTTATTAAAACATCAATGTATGAAATCAAAATATAAATATTTTGAAATAAAAAAATCAACCCAATAACATTATCAAATCCAATATTATTGTTCACCTTAGAGTGTTACGAACTTAATATTAAATTTATCTAGTTTTAAGGCATATAATCTTTTCACAACCTTTAAATTATAGTCAAATATTCTAAAATAGTAAGTTTTTCCACATTCAAATAATAAGAAGGAGCTCTTATTAAGACACCATCACTTTAATCGTATCAAAATACACGAAGGAACTGAATGCGTTTGCCTAGAGAAGTCTAACCAAACACGGAGGTGAAGTTATTTCCATTAGCTTACATCGATCAAACATGAGAACAAAACATCTTCATTTTAACAGTCACAATAACGAAAAGCCCATACTGCCTGCCGTAGTTTGTTAATTTTTCTATATATCCATGGCTATGAGCTCGCAACCAGACTAAGGGTAACCTGAGGTTCCGTTCTCTGAACGAGGACTGTAGTAATAACGGTACCCATTATACTCCGGCGGTGGGGGGGCATAATAATATGCTTCGCCATTCTGTTGTCCGCCCACGTAATTACCATTATTATTGCAACCATTACCAGAAGTAACAGTTTTTTTATTACCATAAGCGTCAACCGTTTGAACTACTTGACAACTCCTCCCGTTTGTCACACGATTATTATTCATTTGATATGAGGTGGGCGAAGGTGGCCCGTTGACTCCTCCCCCGGGAGGAGTATCACCAGTGGCGGAACCAGCATGATCTGATACACTACCGTGAACGCCGCTTTTACTTTGGTCATCATGTTCATGATCTTCACCAACAGGATCTGCCACAACAAATAACTTATAAAAAATATGCACCTATAGAACTAATTAAATTCGATGCACAAAGAGAAGAGGGTGTATATACATACTGTATTGAGGAGGAAAATCTAATAACTGTCTTGCGGCAAGGCAACCTGGGATGAAATAGAGAACTGTGATTAAGGCAAATCCGTAGATGATAAGAGAAGTACTCCGCCTCTCCATTTCTTAATTTAGTTTGCCTCTTTCTTAAGGCTGAGGTAGTCTGCTTTTGCATGTATTTATAAGCTGTGCCAGAAATATATGCCAAATTGTATTGACCCAAAAGCTGTGGTAATTACATAATTCTTTAATTTGAAAAATTAATCCAGGGATAAAATATGTTTGCATGTTACATTAACATAGCTATGACTACTAATTAGTTTTGCATAAAAGAAGTTAAAGGAAACTAGAAAGGAGTTGATGACAAATTCATTTGAATTATTAAGGTCTTTTTCATTTCTTCCATGCCACTGATTGCGGAAACTTCAATGTTGTGTTATCTTTGTATGTTAATGCGTGTAGCTTGTGGCAGAAATTTTTTAGAATTGACCAGGGTGGATCTAGGGAGTAGGAAATATGACAGATTAGTAGTAAAAGCATGCATGTGGTACTGTGATGTTGCTTGCTAATCGGGGAATGGTAGCCCCACAGGAATAATTGCCTAAAAAAATGCCAGAAATATGTCGTAATGGGACTCAAATTGTACGCCATAAATTTGTCGTCTTACGTTTGTTGTTGTACAGATAATACAATACCAAAACCTACGTCCGAATATAGAACACGGCGGAAAACTAAGTCATATATATATAATAAAAGAAAATTAAGTCATATATATATATATATAAAATAAAATTTCTCTATAATGATACTCTATATAGGAATAAACTTTATATAATTATAAAATATTTTATTCCCAATTTAAGATAGTTATAAATAAGAATAAATTCCACATTGCAATAAGTTATAATTTTTTTAATTCTTATCTTAAAAAAAATTGCTTCCACATAGTAATAATTATCTGTATATTTCAAAGAAAAAATATACTATATTACATTAAATGTTTAAGATGAAATAAAATATTTATCTAAAATTGTTTGAGATAATGATTTATGCTTCAGAGTTGTTACTATATCTTTTAACTTGCGGATGGATTACTCGCTAGCATGAACATCTTCTTATTGAAACCAAATATTTCTAGTTTCTCAAGTATGTTTAGAACTTCTTGACACAAAAATTTTTGTATTTTCGTACTATCATCTTCATGATTATTGTAGATGCAAAAATCTACTGTTACGGAAAGAGGGACTGATCCCGTGAGGTTGAAGCCACTAGCGATCTGCTGCACCTGCACATATGGGAAACAAGCGTAAAGTAGATGAAAAACACCGGGGTGGTGTTTGTCGTAGGCACTTCGATGCACAAGTCAGTAAGACTGAATGAGACTAGTTTAGTGAGGGTTAGGGAAAGGAAAAGTTACCAGAAGTCTAGTCGAGGACTGTGACTACGACTGTAATGCGAAGTTCTTAAGTGGGAACTCTAAGGTCTGAATGTGTAATGTTTTTGTCCCTTGTGAGAGGGCTGACCTCTGTTTAAATAGTGACTGTATGGTCTTCCAATCCTGGTGGGACTGAGAGTCCTCGTAGTGGTAGTTCTCCCAAAGGGTGTAACCTTTGGCTCCCTTATCTCAGCAAGAAAGGGAGTTCGAGCGTGACTCGAATACGGACCTTGGAGGAATTAGGATAGTAGTTGACTTCCTTAATCAGAGTCCGAGTAGGAGTGTGATTCGTAGGCGACTGTGGGCTCCGAGTTGACTGTAAGCCTAGAAGGTTCTAGGATCAAGAGGCCTGAGTCCAGATGGTAAAATCCGACTGCACTTCATACCGAATGGGCCTCATCTGCGGAATTCTGATTTGGGCCCCATCGGGGTTGGGTCTAGGCTTCCATCTTTGTTAGAGGTGTTTCCCTATTTGGGTCGAGGACAATTTTTGGCCTTAACAATTATTTCCTTTATGTTCTTGTTTAATTGTAGCAATGATTTTTTCTTTAGTTAAAGCATTCATGACTTATTACTCATTTAGATGATTAAGAAAGATATTAATATCCATTTGATTAGTGTAATGAAGTTGTTGAATCTGATTACTAAATTCTATAATAACTCTTTGATTCTCCTTATCCACTTCATTTATAACTTGCAATTCATTGACATCAGGGATCCTAATTTGGTAATGATTAAAATAATTGACAATATTATGTGGCTTCACATCAATTTGCTGCATAATTTTTTAATGATTAAAATAATTGGTTATAGTTTGTAGCTTCACATCAATTTGACCACGCAGTAACTGCATTACAATTCTATCAAAGACACTTATCTTATTGGGTTAAGACACGATCTTCTATCTGTTCAAAAGTAGGCAATTGAAGCTGAATTGAAATCCTAAAATTAAACATCAATTTAAATCCTAATAGTACTACTAAAACATGAATTAAAATTAATATTTGTTATCACACTTCTATTAAGTTATAATCTCTTCATAGTAATAAAATTAATTAATCCCACCATTATGACTATAGAGGAGTTTTACTATATATATATTCTATTTTTCTTTATTTCATTCAGATTTATTATTTCATGCATGTATTTCTTACTGAACATTTGCCCTAAATTTGTATGAAAATAATTTAAAATTTCTATATTTCATGTTTGATATGTATCTGTTATTTCTTGAACATACTTGCTTTAGATTATATTTTTTAGAAAAAAATTAGAATTTAAAAGTGTGAAGGACTACAATCTTGTTCTACGGATAATCCTGGCTGAAGATAAAGATGTTTTGGATTTCAGGAAATTATTTGGTGTGGATGATATATGCAGTTTTATTTCATAAGCCTCTCTCAACTGTTAGATTAAATTAAATGAAAGGTAGTTAGTTAGTGTCTCAGATTAAGTCAAGAAATTAGTTACTATAGCCTAAACCTTAGATTTCTATAACCTAAATTTATTCATAAAGGAGAACATAACAAGTTGTGAGTACAATTTATATGTAAAAAAAATTTAATCATATAAAATTATTCATCAATCTATAATTATAAAGTACTACTCATTTTTACATAGAATAATTCAAAATTACAAAAAAAAAAAAAAAAAAAAAAATAACTTTTGAATATTATGTTCAATATCTTAATCTTTTAACTTTTCCTCTTTTGATCTTCAGTAAGAACCTAATCACCTGTTGACAACAAAACACAAAAAATGAAATTCTAATAAGTCAAAATTATAAGAAATATACAAATAAAAATAATACGACAAATTATTATATCTCCTTGAATAACTCCGGCCCATATTTGTAAAATCAACTGATGTCCAATCGGCCCAAAATAACTATTCTTCTCCACTTGTAAACATAGAAAAAAGTTAAAAGAACGAATTAATAATGAATATGCAGTATTTATTTTACGGTTACGTTTATAATTTACACCCAAATAAAAAAATAATGTAAATATATTAGGCGTTCTTACAAAATAAAAAAAATGCGTGTAATGTATTTCTATGAATATAAAATAATTTCACAGTTTATTCTATTGAATCTATTAAAACCATCTACATACAAATCTACCTATGTGATATAAGAATAGCGTGAATATATAAACACAAAGGAAAATATTTGTGTATGCTTATTAGGTTTGTAGGATGTTTAATTGACCTTGTCGATGAGTTGAGGTATACGCAATCTAGTCTAGATACTCCGGTTATATATAAAATAAAATAAAAATAATTTGGGGTAGGTGCACCGTGCATGGTAGCATAACTCTTTAAATCGAAAATTAATCCAAGGATAAAATATGTTTGTATGTTACATTAACATTCTAGCTAATTTATTTCTATCAAAGAAAGGGAAAGGTGTATATCATTTGATGAGTTTATTAACTTTCGTCCAGTACCACTGATCAGGGAAACTTAGTTTGATCAAGTGTATGTAGATAGCTAGTGATAGAAATAAGAAAGACATTGACCATGGTGAGTCTTGGAAATATGAGAAATTAAGTCGTATAAACATGCATGTGATGTAGGGTATTATCTAAATTAAAAAAAACCCGATGCTAATATTATCGTGAATAAATGATTTGATAATATGTGGGAATTAGCTAGATATAATTGATATCAATGTAACCTCAATTATCTACTTTCTCATATAGTCATTAGCATCATTTGAAGTATTGAATTTGGATTTGGTATACAACAGATAAAATATTATAACCATGTGTTGATGAAAAGTTTCAGAGATGAAGAGAAAATTCTATAAGAGAAACACGCAGAAAAACAGAGCAAGAAAAGTGTGAGTTCTGCAGAAAGGATTCTGTTATTTTTCACTTTCTAACTAACTGAGTACAAAGGAAGAAAGACTGTCTTTTTATATATACAGCCATCAGGAAACGCAACGTTTTTATAATATTGCTAAAACGCTGCGTATTACACTTATGCCTTACAAATATTGAAAACCACGAACTACTCAAAACCGAGAGCCTACATTCTTGTTCTTCTTCTTTTATCAACATCTTCCCTTAAACTAGACACCTTATTGATTCTCCATTCTCTTCAATATCACCCTTAAACTGAACACCTTTTGGTTCTCTATTCTCGTCAATATCACCCCTTAAACTGAACACTCTTTTGATTCTCCATCCTTCTCAATATCATCCCATAAGATAAGCTTATGTTGTTGACTTCCAGATTTATGTTGAGAGTGTTGATTTTGCTCAATGATAGAGTGTGAATCATTTAGAGATGCAACAACATTTAGCTTGTGTCTAAGTAGCTCAAACAGTGATCCAGAGAGAGGCTTTGTAAGAACATCAGCAATCTGATACTCAGACACAACATATTGTACACACAACTTCCTTTCAGCTGCTAATTCTCATACGTAATGAACGTCTATCTCGATGTGTTTAGTTCTAGCATGGAAAACAGGGTTGGAAGATAGAGCACCTGCACTCATATAATCATACCAGAGTACAGGAGTTCTATTTATTTGTAAACCAAGTTCTTTGAAAAGATTCTGAACCCATACCAATTCTGTAGCAGCCTGACTCAGAGTTCTATACTCTGCTTCTGTGGAGGACAAGGCCACTACTCTTTGCTTCCTAGAACACCATTACACCAGATTACCTCCTAGAAAAATTCCATAACCAGAAGTTGATCTTCAGTCACCTATGTCACTCGCCCAA